AGGAAATTCCAGGAACTGTCGGGGGCTCCTTGACTTGCTTTGTGTTTGACTGCTGGGGCGGCAGGGATCCAACAAAAGCTCGTGTGTAGCTGTCCCTCAGGACAGCCTCTAGCTGCATGGGCAGCTATTACAGCTTAATTCCTGACACTAATTGGAATGTTTCCAAAGTATTGACACAAACAGTGATATAAAATCACATAGGTAATCTCTACATTTCATTTGATCTGTATAGAAGCAGGGAGACAGAAGAACGGGTTTTGGAGATGCATCTCTCTTTTTGAGAGAAGCAGGAAGCTGGCACAGCGAATGATGAAGAACACAGCTGAAGGCAGTGTGCGCCCTTGGGCACTCCTCTTTCTCCTGCCAGTGCACAGATGCGTTTCTACAGCACGGTGCTTCCACAACTGTCACTTTATTGCACCCTGCGCTCTCTGACTTCCTCCATTCCACCATCTGAGTGACATCTATATAAAAGAAACTCCACTGGAAGCCAAGTGTATTGTCCAGGGATTTGTCCTTTCTTTTTAACACAGAACAAAACTCAGATTTCTTCCCCTTCACGATTTCACTGCCAACACTATCACTTGAATATCACGTGGCTCACCTCCACAGTGACATGCAGGATACACCAGATACTACAGGAGATGCCCCAAGAAAACTCCAGCCCTCCTGGGCAGGCAGTGGGAAACCCACCATTACCATTCCCTGGTGACCAGTGGGCATGCTGAGACAGTTGTTTGCATTTTCTATGCTTATTTTTCTATTACTAAAGTGGGATTAACAGTGTTCAGTGACAGCTTTTGAGACCTACAAATTCTTCCTGTTATGGAACAGCATCATGAAGACCTATTTTTCTCTAACTTAAAAAAAAATCTTTCATTAACTGATTATTCAATATAATTCTTAAATTCTAAAATTTGCTAACCAAGCACACAGCACAACAAGCATTTCAGACACTACCAAAATACTAATAATTAGAACAAAATTATTTCAGCTGTGGTTTTTGTGGTTTACTTTGTTCCCTAACAGATTTTGAGAAAAAAAATATTTCTCCTACAACCTGTCTTGCTTTCAAGTACTTTTTTAGGAAAAATCTAATTTCAGTACCAGCGAAATTCATCATATTATGACAGGAAAGCAAAATTGTTTCATTTCGTAAGATCTTCTAACAGCATGAAGCTAACCCCATGGTCTCTGAGACAGAAATTCTGCCAGCTATAGACTTATAAAGAATCAGCAGAGAAAAAGAAGTTTCTCAGATGGAACTTAGTCATGATATGAAGAATGTGTGTCCCCTACAGATGTTATAGCCATTTATATGATAAATCTTGATCATCACTATAGGAATTTTACAGCCTTCTTTTAAGTTAATGCTTAAGTCCAAATTAATCTTCTTTTGACAATGTTTGCCTTATTTCAGTGTTGAACAACATTCCAGGGTTACATTTACAGTGAGCCTACTGGGCACTTTTAAAGCTGTATTCCAGACTTTGTACTTGCTTCAGAAAGACTTCTTTTAATTCTTCAATGCTTCACAAGTATTTCTAGGAAAGACAAGTACAATAAGCATTGATAAATGCTTAACAAGGGCACATCTAGACTTGCAAGTTAACTGGACTTAACATTAGGGTTAATTTAGAGCATGTGACAGGTTGTAGAACAGCTCCCTGGAAGAAAATATTAATTCTAGAATAAAATTACCTCATTCTCACGTTCAACACTTCAACTGTTTTGAGTAACGTGAGATAAATGAGAACAAAGCATGTTTGTTCCAGTTTGTGGGATCATTGGTTTACTCAGGAATCACGGTCTGGGGAATTCAAAACGAAATGAGGGATATGAAAATACCTTAAGGTGTCTCCAAGGAACTCAAGGTAGCATAAATACAGAGTCATTGGTTTCAAATGGCAGCAGCCCTTTTAAAACCAACACTACATTTACACACTTCAAAGGCCCGCGTTACGCAGAACATGGTGCTACAGAGGGCACTGTACCCCCTCACACCAGAGAAATATTTTTTTACCAGGATGCCTCTCTGCCATCACCAATGCATCCTTCCACTCCCTGCCTATACCCTCCTGTTCACTCAGAGGCAGCAGGAGGTCTGGGCTTATTGTCTGGTTTTGGATGGCAAGCTGTTTGGTGGAGAAACAAAAACAGTGATGTTTTACTTGGGTGATACATGTTGACTTGATCTCAGTATCTCCACTTCTCCTCTGCTCTTGCTTATTGGGAACAAAAGACAAACTCTAAGTGCTTTCATTAGCTGACTACTGAGAAGAGCTTCTTGGTAGAAGAACTGAGCACCATCCCTGTAAAGGGAAGGCTGCTGTACATTTCACAAAGAGAAAGATTTTTTTCAGCCTTGGTGTTTCTGGCTGTGAAATGCACTTTGAGGTTATGGACTTTCTGTGATTTCTTTTTTCTTAAAATGCCATTTTTATTGTGTGCTTAATCTGTTTTTTCTACTATCTTTTAACATCTCTCTTTGGATGAGACACTGAAAGAGGCAGCACTGATAAGGCCAAGGCGTTAAACCTCAGTAATTCTCAGTTCCACATGTAACATTTGGGGCAAAGCATAAAATGAGACCAGGAGCCCAGCCTGGCCTGGCCAGCCACACACACTGGCGATCCACAATGGATCACTAGGTGAGGAGCCTTCAACACCTTGGGGAGTGACCAGGGTCCCATGACAGGAAAGCCTGAAACTATTCCAACCGAAGACTTCCCCAGGGATTTAGGGGAAAGGGATCACAAGCAGAAGATGAAAGCGAGACTCTGCAGAAAAAGGAGGAATAAATCTAAGAAATTCCCCAGCCCCAGACCTTCCCACACTGTATCCCTGATGGTACACAAAGCACTTTGAAGTGGGAAGCAGCACAGCACAAGGCTAAGAATTCCTGTTGACATTCATGGTACCTGCTGATGTTGACACTCAGCAAAATAACATTAATCACCTGCTGCAGAGAATTCTGGTGCACGTCCAGAGAATATTTAGGTGCAGCAAAGAACAGTGGAGGCAGAGAAGATCTTGGGTCTTTTACTGCTCATTTACATTTATGTATTTTTTGTGTGGTCTCCTACAAATTGTCTTTACTTCCAAATCTTTTTAGAACCTCCGTGTGCTCTGTGCTCTTGGGGAGACAAAACTGCATCAGGCATCCACAAGGCCAGAGCTCTGACCTTGTAAGAATAATGCCTAAGGAGTGCCTCCAGAAGAGCAGGGCAGGGAGAGCAACTCTTGTCCCCTGGTCTTTGGGCAACCGGGGTTTCCAACACCCCTGTGTGAGAAGTAGGAGACAACCTGTGCCCAGAACACAGACCCAAGCTCAAGGAAAGCAAGCCTATGGAGCCCACACAAATGAAGAGGAGACATTCAAGAGCTCATGCTCAACCTAGAGAGTCCAATCACTGAGGCCTGGTGACATCTACTGAGCAGGCGTTTGCCATAGCTGCGACGGTGCCAAACTTTTTATCGATACTCTGTCCTCCCTAGGAAAGACCATACCCCTGCCTTCACTGCAAGGAGAGCAGCACACAGAATAGTGCACCTAACAGGAGAGCTGCTTCAAAAGAAGAAGTCAGAAAACTGTTTGTCGCTTACCCCACTGAGCAAATCAAAGTTCTGCAGAGAGCATTTTCCCCTCAGCAGAAAAGTGAGACATTTGACGTTCTGCTCCACACCATAGTTTTGGTGACTTTATTGAAAGAAAGGGGCTGATGGCGGACAATGTGTGAAGCTATGCCCCCATGTAAAACTGTTTTATCAAGATCCAAGAAGCAGTCTTAGCATAGAGTTCATTCAAGCAATATTTAAAGCAAGTAACCTCAAACTCACAGACTAAAATCATAATAGAAGCAAGATGACTCAAGTATACAAGATGTAGGAATTGGCTATATAAATGCTTCCTGCTGTAGATTTCACTCCTATACAGTTCCAAAGATAAAATCTAATGTGGAAAGAAAAAGCAATGTAATACCTCACATTTCAAACCCAAATCATGCTATAACTGGGATAAAAGGAAACATGCTATTTCATAAATACTCTGATTAATATATATTGTAAAAGCAATTACAATCACTGCATTAAGCAAACCATATAGAAGATAACATTGGCCTAAATACAAAATTGCCATAATAATATTAGGTTTTCTGTTTAAAGTAGTTATTTTCATCCTAACAAAAAAATTTATTTTGAATGACCTTTTCAGGCAATGGACATTTCAGCTAGTTCCAGGGCAACAGCCCATCCTTAATTTACTATTGTTTAACTTTAAGGAACACCCAGGAATAGTTAGTTAACTGAATAAATAACAGTCTGGTATTAGGATCTCTGTTTTTCCCCCAACTGTTCCCGTTTGCTGTCCTGTGTTTTTTGTCTTGTTAGATACACATTAACCTGTTAGACTGACCTTCACTTCCCTCCCAGTCCCTACAACACATTAAAATTCTTTAAAAAGACAACTTGAGAGAGACTGCCTTTTGGTAAACCTCCTAAAGCGAGCTCTACAGACTGGTCTGGCATGCATTGTGTACATGCATCTGTCACGAAAATTTGATGAAAAATCATCTGCTTCCTGACAGATAGGCTGCACTGACTTCAAATTCCCATGAAATGTCTTTGTCCACCAGGAAGAAAAACATTCTCCTTTAAAGCAGTTATCATTCTCAAACTTCACTTCAATCCTCCATTTGCTTTAGTCTGTATTATCATTTATTTGTACTATAATTTTTCTGGATCAATTAAAGCCTGTCGCAAGATACATCTTCCTGATCATCTTTTGGGAAAATGTAAAGAGACAGGAACTAATGAAAGGAATGAAAGCAAATGTTTCACAGTAATAACGCTGTTTTCAGAGGGTGAGAAATGAAGATCCTTTTTAAGACTGACCTACCCCAGTTTGTTTAAAACTAAACTGAACTTGAACTGAGAAACTACTCTTTTGAGATTAACCTGAATAGCGTACATTCAGCAAAACACTGTAAATCTAAACATACCTGAATTGGAGTCAAACTTTGTTTCTGACCTGCAAAAGAAAATAAAAAGATCGTAAATTACAAGAACTGCTTTATGCCATAAAAGCCATTTGTCAGACTGATCCCCCAGCAAATATTGTCTTTAACAAGACTGTTTACCTCTGTACATTAATACTTAATGCATTCAAGGGCATTTGAACCCAAATAATAACCATTATCTTTAACATTTTGGGTTTTTTTACGATGTAGAGTTACAAAGAAGATATTTTAAAAGACAAATCATTAAATGAATGCAGAAAATAATAGAATCTGAATTTAAAACAGGATTAAATTATATGCTGTGAATCCTGGAACACAGTTGTTCCTATGTAATAAATATTGTTTTCATTCATTTTCATTTTTGAAAAGTCATTAAGAGGATTTAATTTATTCATGAATGTTTCCAATCTATTTTTGAAGCAGATACCATTTCATTAATGTCATATGTATTGTATCCAATGATCTGTACTTAATTGTACAACATCCTAGGAGGGTTTTGTTTGTGTGTGTCTTCAATTTACTCACTCTGCACATAGGAATAAGTGGTTGATTTTCTTAAAAGTGGAAAGCGGGGGGTGGGAGAGAGGGAGAGAGGAAGGGAGCCAGACCTAAACTTTAACTGGTTTTAAAGTCTTTGCAGAAAGACAATGATGTGTGCATTATGCACCTTAGCTTTGGTCGTGCACTGCAGATTTTTCTCTCTCTAACAAGTAGTGTTTTCTTCTAAGGGCTTAGCACTTAGCAAATGAACCCTATAACCTGTATATTTAATAAAAGGAAGAAAAAATTAGCCCTTGTGGGAACATCATGTTTCAGATATAGGTTAATAATACTTGTAAATGTAGAAGCCTTTGAAGATCTCAATTCAACTGTGGGAAAACTTAAGTTGGGTAATTACTCTCAAGATGCTGCTGATGTGCTGTCAAGCAGAATTAACCCTATGACTGGGCCTATCTACACAATCTGCTATAAGACAGCATTGTCTATATCGAGCTCTCAAACCAATTAACAGGCATGTTCCAATCAGATTTATATTGCCCACTAACAATCAGTTGTACACGTGGTCATGGCTGTCACAGCAGGACACAAGGTCTGACCAGCAGGAGACTTGTTAAAGGATGTTACGTTGGCAGCAAAATGCATTTCCCCAGAAATTCTAAGGAGGAAGTACAATGTTGGATCCTTTTATGTTGCATCAGGGAGGGGATGTATTTTGGGAAGTTACAGTCCTTCTTTTTCCAAAAATAACTGACTGAAGCTCAAGAACTAACTGCAGATTTATTTTCTTCTTTTATTTTATAACCTTGTACATGCAGGTACGTGTAGATGTATTTTACACGTATTCTATATATTTCATATAATTGGCATTGTAATCCCGTACCAAAGATCTATGCTACAGCAAACAAATATCAAATCATGATATAAAAAAATGAACATGTTTATACTATTAGTTACAGTTAAAGCCATCAGAAAGGGAACAACTCCCTCCTCCCTTCCTGCTCATTCTCCACCTTCCACCAGTGCTCACAATCTTTTATGTCTTAAATGTAATTCTCAGGTGGTGAAAAGATGGACAGGAAAAAAACATAACTTATCTTCCTAAGTGGTACTTATAAAGTACCACCAAAAGCACTGAACAAAAAAAGTATGTTGCTGACGTGCCTTCACGACTACCACCACCAATAACTGCCCAGGGCACCAGCCCATGCTCCTGTTTGGCAGTGTATTTCAGTTGGTATTTACACCCAGCAGGATAAAGTCCGTACCCTGCAAAAGGTGCATGCCGGTAACTGGGAGGAATTCCACTGAGTTCCAGGTAAAGCCACTTACTCAGTATTTTATTTACAATATTCTCCTCAAGCTGCAGTATATGTCTAGACTGTTCTGTCTTGCCCATTACTGTATCAGCAACACCTTACTACCTACGTAGTCAGAGACAACATACGAATCTTACCCTCAGCGTCTGCTCATCTGCACAATCAGCTTCTCGTTGCCTAAATTCTAGATACTTGGTATTAGTTGGTCAAACAAAGACCCTGCTTCTCAGCCTGCATGGCTTGGCATGGACATATGCACTGCAACTTGCGGCATCAGCAATTTGGCCCAGGGGCCAAGATGGCAGAGAGTATGTGGGGAGGAGGGTCACAAGGATCACTGTGCACTGTAATGAGTACCAAAGCTCCCAACAGTCATAAATTACTGGACAACAAATCAGGAAACCAATACAGGGCGATAAATGAATAGAACTTTGTCTGGAAACAGCAGAATAGCTATGACAGAAAACACAACATGGGAGGTAGCGCTAGGAGCCATCGAGAGGAGGAGGGTCACTGACGTTATGGTCATCATGTCACCTTGGGAAAACAATGCAAAATTTAGGACACAGTATTACAGAAATTGTTAGAGATCTTAGAAGGGCACAGAAAAAAGGGAGGAAAATAATGAAGCGTCTTTGGCATTGCAAATAAGCAACAACTAGCAGATGTGAGAGAAGCACTCTACAAGAACAAAGATGACAGTCATCTTGACTACTTGAAGGAATGACAAAGCTTCCAGCAATTTCAATGGAACCAGCACTTTTCCCCTAGATCTTCCAGTATTTACATCTTTTTCTTGACAGCATGCTAGACAAAGGTATCAGAAACTAGTTGCACACAGGTGTTAAAAATATGCAACTAAAAAATGGCCAATAAATAGGATAAAATTAAATGCTGAAAGTACGTTCCAAAGGGATGTTCTGCTACACACAAAAATATTCACTCCGATTCCTTTATACTTTAAAAATACATTAACTAGAACGAAAAACTTCTCTGTACATTGTTTGTTATCATTGTATAACTCTGATATCCAACCTAAGCGTCCTACCAAACAAGATGCACCTTACAGAGCCAGGCATCGACTTTACAAAATATCTTTTATCATTTATCACACCAAGAGGGGAAAAAAACCCCGACAAACAGATAATTGCTTGGTGCGTATTTTCTCTACTTTTGCCCCATAGGAGTACTCTGAAAGTCAGGGAATCATTCATAAATAACTTTGGAAAGGAGTCTCTATGCATAGAGCAAGAGGATATTTATAAAGTGCTTTCCATTTCCAACTGTGATATGACTCAAATACACACAACACATGGCAATACAAATGCCAAGTAGCTCATCTACCAACACACGATATGCAAGGAAATAGTGAGCTACTGGAAAGGGTTACCTAAGGACAAGGTGCTGCAATACTTTTAAAGATCCCAGACATAATTAAATCAAACAAACAATGAAATACATGATGGTCACTTTATCTGTACTGCAAAGAGGCACAGGATTTCGACCTGTTCCTTTTAAAAGGCACCATAAACTAGATGTTCAGACTGCCAAGTACTGAGAAAGAGAGAGAAACAGGTAATGATAATCACCGTGTGTTCCTATAGTGTGAATTTTCAACTACTGCCTTCCAAAGTATGACTGAAGTGCAGTTGTTCAGTGCCACATACCACGGCGTGACCAGACACACGACAGCTGAAGCTAACACAGATCTGCTATTTGCCCGTGAAGTGGGCTTTTGGTAAGGAGAGGGGAAAGAGGACTTACTGTAGGACCCCTACTGTTGCGTTACAACTGCCTTTTTCTTTCACCCTTCTTGATGAAGTCTTTATCAGGTTTATTCAGGTTTTGTTGAAGCCCAACATGGGGAACGGCCTTTGAAAGCCCCACAGCTCTCTCAGAAAGCACCTGATGAAACCTCTGCAGTTCTGATCCTTTCGTTTTAACATTGAAGGAGTCATTGACTCCTCTTGGCTTTAACTTACACCTTTGCATTAGCAGTTTGTACCAGGTTGTTCCTTTGCAAGGTTTTGCTTCAAGGATGCTAAACACAACATTGGTAGGGGCAGACATTCAAAATACAACTCCCCTCTGAAAAGGACTTTGAATAAAGATCTGTTGCAATTGTAAAGATGATAGGTGCAGCTTTGGTACATCTTAATTTTCAAAGAACTTTACTCTATATTGGCATGGGCAGTTTGCTGAAGAGACAAGGATCTAGCAGGCTCCCGATGCAATCCAAGCCAACCAATGTCCTGGCCCAGGTGACTGAGCAGAATAAAATCATTCCTCTCTCTTATCCATTCGCCCCTAATCGTACAGAAAATACCAAGTTGGAGTATCAGCGTTCTTGGCTACAGCATTGCTAGCAAGCTAAAGAAGGCCAGGACAGAAATGCTCAGTTGTGAACATGTCCCTGGACACTGTGTTAAGCCCATATCATGTTCGTGCGAACTAGCACTCTCCTAGACCAGACCTAGGCAAGCTGCAGGGGAGGCTCAGGCCAGGGACCGTTCCCCACAAGCAGGATGAACCAGGCCACTGTGTTTCAGAGGAGAGGAATTTAGGCTAACAAACACAAGCCATGTCTTGTCACTTGCCTTTAGGGCCAGAGAAGAGGCTTTTGTCCATTTTATTTACAAGTATGGACGTAGCCCTTCCGAAAACGCAAACCATTACTTGGAAGCGGTCACTGATCTTACTCGTGAGCCCAAGCTCCAAATAACAAGGCAAGCTTCCAGAAAGAAAAACGCAGCAGTATTCCAATGTAAAAATTAATACCTGATGTAACTATCTAGGAATTTATGAGACCCGCACCAGCAGGGAATTTGAGAAGCCCCCAAGCATTAAGAACCAAGTAGTTCCTCGGGCAGCAGAAGGAGCAAAGCTGGGCTTGCTGCTGCATTGTGGCCAGGGGACAGATCCTGTGGTGTCTAAGGTGGCAAAGTTACTCACAGGTACTTCCCAGAGCTGGACATTCATAATGCCTCTCTCTCTTCCACCCTCATGTGGATTCTCTTTTATAATACAATAATATATATATTATTTACAACAATATTATCTGGTATAATCTAATAATACAGTTGAACTCTTGTTCAGGTCTCCCCTCAGAGAGGGCTTGAAAGTGATCTCTCTCCCAATTTCATAAAAGTTTTAAGAACTTAATATCTTTGAGGTTTAATAGCTACTCCCCTGCC